TCAATTTACCCAGAAGAAGCAGTCTGCTTGGAAAAGCAAACCTCAAGTGAAGAAACAACTGTACCACTTAATGTTACACTACTTGCTAAGTGGATACACATATACTATGATTAATGAAGGCATTAAGAAGATAGCATCTCCTTATTTTGGGGGTGTCTTGGCCTGTGATTCAGGGCAGGCCAATCGGTGTTTTCTAACAAGTGGCCACAATATTTAGTTCACAAAGGGACATTACTTGAGATGAGCCAATAAAAAGCCTAGTTTGTTCTGAGCAAAATAAACACAAAGAAGGAACCTTGTTTCCCTAGAGCGTCTGCTGCCAGAAAAGAGTCCTAGGATGCTGGTGACAGTAATATTGTCCTAAAAAGGAACCATGTTAAAATGATGCCACTATTGAACAGACAAGAGATGGAGAGTCATTATCTATACAGCAAATACCTACTGGTTTGGGTACCATCTACCACTGCTTAGAAACTGGAAAGCCAGTTCTATAGACAGAGGAATGGTCATACCAGGCTAAATCTCTGTCCTGAAGGAGCTGATCTTCCAAGGAGGCAGACAATAAAATAAATTATATAAGATGGGTTTGGTGTGGTGCCTCTACGTCCCATGCACATGGAACAGAGCAGCGAAGGAGGCAGAAAATATTAGAACATAAAAGGCTACAATTTAAAATATGGCATCAGCTAGCTCTGAGATTATATTTAAATATACACACCAGAGATATGCAGAGAATGACATAAGGATATCTCAAGAAAGTGTTTTCTAGTAGAGAGGACAGCAAATGTTGAGGTCCTCAAGTGAAAGTGGGACAAGCAAAGTAGAAAATGATAGGAAATGTGCTGGAGCAGGCACTGTATTGGCTGTGTCGGGTATTTTAAGGATTCAGTATTCACATGGAATGGATAGAAGGTAAAGGGAAAGTTCTCAGTAGTGATGTGACACCATCAGAATCATTATAGTCTAAGGCAGCCAATAGTAGCAACAGACAGGACAGTGAGAGACACTGCCTGATCCATGGGAGAGAAGGAGGCCACTTGGAGGAAGAAGCCAGCACTTGATTAGATGTAGTAAGAAGTTGCAGATTCTTGATAAAGTTAGAAGGTTCTGGATCAGCTATAGGGTATGAGAGAAAAATCAGACTCCAATGATTGTGAGATTTCCTTCTTGAGAAACTGAAATAAAAATTTTGAATTTGCCAAAATGGAAGATCCTGTGGAAAGGGCAGGCTTAAAATTTGTTGGGAGGCATGACCAAGAACTGTGCATAGGAAATACTGTTCAAGTTCTTACTGTGTATTTTTGAAGATGTCATTTGAGAGCCTGGATCCATCCATACTGAAAACCAGAATTATGACTTGAACTTTTAGTTACACAAAGCAGAATTTTTGATTTATAGAGTCTTTCTTAAAGACTTTGGACTTAAAGCTCTTAATGTGTTTTATTTTAGAAATCAATGCTTTTCATCATTTATAAGCCACGTGCAAATTTTTTTCATCAGTTTCATTAGAAGGATGATGGTGTTAAAAGTTACCTCTTTTTGAAGAAAATTCATCTTTGATTACTTAAAGAGGCCAATTACTGTAAGTTTAAAAATGGCTTTGAAAGCACTAGTATTTGGATATGAAAAATTAAGTGTTTAATGGAAGCTATAGTACTTAGCTTGAGAATCCTTGTGTTATTTTGCATTAATCAGAAATATCTCTTATACTCTTTATTGATATAAAGCCTTGCATACAGAATGCCATGATTATGAGTACATGAAACATTATAAGCAAGATGGTAGAAAGCCGAAGTAAGTGTTTGGAATTCACAATGTGCAATCAAGAGGAAGTACATCTGATTAATAACAGTACTTCAGGCTGGCCTGCTTCTTTAGGTTTTATTCATCCACTCAATTATCTGTTCAGCATTTGATGAGTTACTTCCATGTACTGGATTAGGATTGAGCACCAGACCAGAGTGAATGAATATAGAGAGATTCTCTCCCTACAAACTGCATAAACCAAAGAGGAAGACAAATAGAAAAATGCTATTTTAGTTCTGTATGCCTAAGATATACAGGTAGTTCTCTTCCAATTGATATTCACAAGAGTCTTACAAAAGCCTTAAATAGAATTTGAAGCTAAATGACTGCACAAGTTAGCAAGATTATTACAGCTACGAGTAATAATATCATAAATAGCTTTTGAAGCTTATCTCTTTCTTGCATTTTGGTACTTTTAAAAATTTATTACCATAAAGCTTAAAACTTAACACATATGTCTTATGAACAAGTTTAAGATGACTAGGGATTTTAATTATTTGTGTGAGCTTCCCATGCAGAAAAATTTTCCTTAATAACAACAACAGGTCAACATGTACACTTTAGGGTGAACTTCAGCAATGAGAGTGAATTTTAAAATTATATTTTATTTATTTTGTGTTGAAATTCCCATTAAATTACAGTTCCACTAGCATAAGAATCGTCTTCAATCACCTCATCCAGTTTTTAAGCAAAATCACAATAAATACTGCTGTTAAATGAGTCATGAGTATTTTAATTATACGGTTGAGAGAAAGTATAACACAGTGGTTACCAATACATCTATATTTGGATGACTGTCCTGTTACTTACTGTGCCATCTCTGCAAAAATCTTCAGCTCTTTCATCTCCAAAGTAAGGATGCTAATAGCTTCCAAGTCATAATGTTGCTTTGAAAATTAAGACTCAACTTATGAAAAGTGCTAAAGAATCAGTCCTAGAAATTTCTCAGTAAATGTTAGCCATTAATATTATATAACATGGGGGAGGATACTGGAACTGAATTCAGGATTTTACTCTTGTAAGGCTGGTGTTGCACCACTGAGCTAAACACTTAGCCCTATATAACACTATTGTTATGTGAAAATTTCTAATTTTGATTAGGAATTTATAAGCAATTTATAAATAATAACAGGGATTTTCTTTTTAAAAAAATTTATTTTACCCTTTGTGCATGATCATAATATTCCTATGAACTTATACTTAGTCACTTCTTTTGTCTTTGCAGTTAAGCAAGTTATGTTTGGTCTCACCATGACATAATACTGTGCTTTACAATTATGGCTTCTGATGAGAGATTACATCAATTTTAAAATCAGAAGAAAGCGCCACATATATCTGCTTGCATATTATTGTGAAATAGAAACTTTTTATTAATGCTGTGTGTGACCTTAATTTTGACTGTTAACTGGATTAAAAGACATGCAGATGATGAATAAAACAAACTTCTGGGGATGTGTGGTTCGATGGACCATGGGGTGTGAGGTTGAGGTTTAGACCTGGTCCCTTACCTCTGCCTGTCTGGGTCTTCTTCTGTTCTTCCTTCCTGAATGTCAAGAGTTAAGCTATTTTCCTCCCACCATACTTTTTCTACCATGATGTTTCAGCCTTAGGATCAGCAGAATATGGACACTGAAACCTCTGAAGCTGAGACTTAAGATGAACATTTCTTCCTTTAAATTGCATGCATTAAGTATTTTATTCTCAGAAATGAAAATGTGATTACTATAATTTGTTTTGAATAATAAATGATGGTGTAGCAAAGGCATATTAATTCAGAATTGTTACTGGTAGATCCAAATTTATTTAATGAAAAGTTGTAAATCCATAATGTTTTCATTTTGTGTATTTTCAAATCCACATGCTCCTGGGTCATTCCTGGGTCACATGTAAGAGAATGGCTCAGACTTCTCCTAATCACTGGGCAAGGATATTATTAAATTTGCTGTTTACAAATGGATGTTACTAAAAGGACTAAAATGTTTTGCTGCTAAAGTGTTGCTCTGCAGTACTCATTGTGCAAGGAAGACATTAGCCACATGTTTTTCTATACATTGTGCAAAAAGAAGCATACATACTTCCCAGAACAAATTAGCAGGATCATGTTTTATATATGTTTTAAACTACCAATAATTATTTTTGACCATTATATTTCATTTTCTGTTACTTGAGTTTTTAGCAATTTTAGTCAATAAATACACGTTTCCTATCAAATTTGGAACTGACATGTAGAATCAAGAAAGCATTCTTCAAATTTGCAACCAAGAAAATCATCATTTCATTTCTATAAAAAGCCAGGAAAGTAAATATATTCACTAAAATACATTTTGAAAACAGAAAAATATGGAGAGAATAACTATCTGCAAGTAAAACTATCAATACTAAACCTATCTAACCTCTTCACGACCCCTTGTCCTTGCCTTTGATATGGGAGTAAGAAGGGACCAAGCATGAAGACCGGGGGACCTGGAGTATTCTCCATCACTTTTAGCTATGATGACAGCAACATGGTGACTCAAACAGGCACCTTCTAAGAAAGCATCAAATGCAGCACAATAATTAAATATCCATTCTTCTCTCCCTTTAATGGAAATATCTGTGGAACACTCCACAGTGAAAGTCAGTGGCTGTCTTTTAGGTTCATTTAGTTATAACTCATCATTAGCACTCAGAAATTTGTCCTTTCTGGGTGGATTTTTAAAGGTGCGGCACCGGTACATTCAGGGGACTAGGCTGATGAGAGGATGATAAACTTTTATAAACATATTGCCATCTTTGGATGATGTAAGAAAGAATAAAAAAAATCATATCTAAGTACATGGTGTTTCTAATTTACATGCTTATCTGTAACCCCCAAGCTTTGTGGAATAAAAAAAAAAATACTGAAAATAAACCTAAATAAACTAATCATGTTTTTTTTTTTTTTTTGACGTTAGACAGATTTAACTTGACACCTGGCACTAAAAGTTTTCAAGGGATGCCTATTCATTTCCCATAGAGCCTCTACCTGTAGATTTAGTGAGATCAGGAAGACAAGGAATGTGGGATTCTGCAGTGATAAACATTTGCAACCAGTGTTGTTTGAATCAGTCTGTAAGACCCATGACTTGAGGTGCCCATTTAGAATGATAGAAGAGGTTATCATATTTAATGCAGGCAATTTTCCTCAGCATTAACAAAATGAGAATCCCACATACGTGTTTTCTTGGTGGTTGCATTAACGGTGGCACTGAAGGGACCAGCACCGGCACTGTTGTAAGCCCTGACAGCAGTGTAATACGCCAGGTTGCTCTTCAGGCCCCTGAGGCGGGCTGATGTCTCATTTCCTGCCACTTTCACTTTGCTTGATGACTCCTCCTCTCCTCCATTGTTCCAGTACCGTACCTGGTGGACAGAAGTCACAAAACATGCCATGGCTAGACAAAAGCACTTGGTTTTTCACTCTGTGATTTTCACGAGAATGAACAATGCAATTTATATTCTTTTATTTATTCAACGATTATTTCCAGAAGACTGTGCCAGGAGCTGCATGAGGCTCTATGTTGCAGCAGTGCCACATATAACTGAGACTCCAAGAGGAAACAGATAATAAAAACATGCAGAAAACATGCATATCAATTCAAAGACTGCTATGTAGGACCAGACTACTGGGTTATAAGTGGGAGAATGAAGGGGAGATCCACATGCCCATCAGAGAGAGGTGCTCCCACTTCTCAACCCCTAACCAACTCAGCCCAAATGCAATGCAGAAGACCGACAGCCCTGCATGTCCTCCACTGGACATTAGTGGTGCCTTTTGTGAAGAAAGTGAACCATTTCACCAAGATCATTAAAAAGTCAGTGGGTCAGCGGACTGCCCTGCCATGACAGCCAAAGGGCAACCTAAGTTGTTAGAAGAGTTGATTTTAAATATAAATGAATATTATAATATCTCCTAATATGTAATTATTCTAGACCATGCAAAATAATCTTAAACTTTTAAAAATGTATTTATGCACATAGTATGACAATATAAAAATGTTAATGAAAATGTCCTGTAAAAAGAGGATAAGGCAGGAAAGTAAATAAACATACATGCTTCCTAATTACTTCCAGTTTGTGCTATGAAATTTAGTTATGCTTTGTTATAAAATTTGGATTGTTCATGAATTAAGAAAAACAGAAACAAAACCAACAATGATAAAATATACAAACAAATAAATTATGAAAAGTACAATTATTCTCTCTTTTTGTTTTTTTCTTTTGAATAGGCTCTCAATCTGTTGCCCATGATGACCTTGAACTTCTGGGTCAAGTCATCCTCCTTTGCCTGCAGAGCACTGGGACTAAACGAGTTACCAAGCCCAGCTCAATTGTACAATGATTCCCTATACAGCAATAGGTTCAGGTATTACTGTGTAATGATCTAATATGGGAATCGCGGAGTTAGCATAAATATGTAAAGCAGGTTAAAAGCACAGGCATATTTTTTCTGTTTGTAAAGAAATATATTCTCTCCTAGTTTTCTTACAAGGAGTAGCTTTTTGCCCTGGCTTTTACTTTTCTATTTATGATAATAAAATATAGAAACAGAAAATAACATTTTTAGGAAATAACTTACAAATTGCACATGTATATGATGAAATTATCAAATATTCCTGAGTGCTAAGAGTCTTTGAGCCAAAAAAGATTTGGATCTGTACAAAATGAAACAAAACAAAACAGTAAATAGTAAAATTAAAGTCTGAGGATATAGCTCAGTGGCAGAGTTCCTGCTTTTCATTGGCAAGGTCTTAGGTTCATCCTCAACACAAGGGAAATAAGGGGACTTGAGGACCAAGTCAAGCTGAACAGCAGTTTTTCTTAATAATAAAAAAATCTTTCCTAGTTCTGCTTGATTGAAGGAAGAAAGACTTCACACTTACAGAGCTTATTTTTCATATAAGGAAAGTAGAACTCTCACATTCACGTGAAATGCCCCAAATTTAAGATTTGCTCAAATTTGGCATTAGTTGTAAAGGCATTGTGTAGACAAACAAAATGTGGTTATGGGTTATATATGAGATAAGCAGTTTCAGTTGCTGAGCAAAAGACAGTAGAAGTTACCATTTCTTTAATCAGCAGCTATGAAATTATCTTAAAATAGCATTACAATATAAATCTCTTTCTAAACAATGAGTGCAAAAGAGCAAACTAAGTATTGTACAACGTCAAGAATATATATTCTATCAGATATACACATGTGAGTGCATGTGTGTTTGTAGAATTTTAAGCCCCTCTAAATTCATATAAAATGTCTTTATATATATATATATATATATATATATATATATATGTGTGTGTGTGTGTGTGTGTGTGTGTGTGTGTGTGTGTGTGTGTTTCTCTTGGACAAGGGTTGTTTGTTTCATAAGAATCTGAAAGGGAGGCTGAGAACCCCAAGAACTTGGACTAAAGGAAACACATTTACTTTTATAAAGCTGTAGTCAATGAAAATGCTAATGGATATCAATAGTTTGCACACATTCTACATTTGCCAATATCAAACACTGTGTGAAGGTTAGAGGGCTCCAAAATGATAAGATGCTTTCCCTGCCCACACAGGATCACCCAGTAATTAAGAATGACACATGCTCAATAATCATAATAAAATATTATAGATAACCTGAACACTGTGGCCTGGGATGTAGCACAAGTCAGGGGAAATCACAGAAATATGAGCTCTAATAATCTTTACTTAATAGAAAAGGCAGTAGAGAGATAGAGAAGTTAGATAACTCAATCAAGATCATTTTGTCTAAGCTTTGATCTCTAATCCACTGGCCATTCATTTTCTGATTTATCAAATTATTTCACTATCAGTTGCCTAAAAATGGTTCTTAGGAGTCTGATTTAAAGAAAAAGAGAAATTATTCTATTATTGGCATGTAGAATCTCTTTTTATAAATCCATTTATAGACAGTACTTGAAAGTTCCTGATAGGAGTATCTGATAGGAGTATGTTTTAAAGTACTTTAACCAATCTCCAAGTATCAGAAGTAGAGATTTATTTTTAGTTCTTCATTGCTGAGAAACAGTAGAAATATTTAGACATAGAGAAAAACTGTTCCAAGTTTGAATATGATATTGTTAGTGAAAATTCATTATATCATCTCAAATAACTTCACTTAAAGAGTTCAACAAATTTACATATAACTAAAACATAAAAGAACAAAAGAGGGCCAGTAATATTGTCAGCATTCTGTATGTTTTTTACATGTTCCATAACATTTTGAGCAAAAATACTTATATAAGTTTAGATCACTTTTTTAATAAGATAAAAAAGTCAAAAAATATTATAAAGGCAAATGCTCCAATTTTCTTCTCAGTTATTCTGGTTCTAAGCAGTAAAAGTGCTCCAACTGAGAGAACAGAATAGGTCTATGCTAATTTGGATTATAGGCACAATCACGATGCAGGGATGAAGAAAATGTGCCAGGGCTGAAGGAACAAGCTTTGGGAACGTAACTGTAGAAAAGAGTTAGCATCAGGTTAACAAAACATGAAGGTGTCATTTATGAAGAGGAGCAGAGAGAAAAATGTATAAAGCACAGGGAAAACTCTGCTAACAACGAAGTTAGCAGTATCAGCTAGTGAGAGACCAGCTACAATACACCGACCTAAAACAGAATTTTAAAATATTATGTTTAAAATACCCATGTTTATTAAAAAGATATTGAATCTGACATGCAAGAATGGGATATAGGGGATGGGGATATGGCTCAGCAGCACAGAACCTGCTTGAAAAGCACAGATCTTGAGCTCGATTCCAGGTAAGAGAGAGAGAGAGAGAGAGAGAGAGAGAGAGAGAGAGAGAGAGAGAGAGAGAGATACAGAAAAAAAGATCAGCCAGATTTGCAAGATAACAAGCAGACCTCATAGGTGTGAAAAATACAATAACTAAAAATGTAGAGTAAAATCAGCAATAAAAATTAAACTGGAAACTAATGCTGGGAGGGCAAATTAATTAGCCCAGAACACAGCCTGAAGGGAGAAATGAAAATTATTACAAGGAGGAGAAATTGAGGACAGGATGCAGAGTTCCAAATATTATCTCTGAAGGAGAGATTAGAGAAAAGCAACATTCACAAGCAAAACAGATGAGAATTTTGCAGAACTGAAGAGAAACATGCATGTTGTATTGTAAGTCTGCTTTGAGTTTAGTGCAGGAAAAACAAGAGGCAATTCCTCTCAAAAGGTCAAGTGAGACTGAACTCTGGTTCTCAAGCTTTGTTCGTCACTAGCCAGCTAGCGGGGTCCAATTTTCCCCTTGAGCACTGGTGAGCCACTGCATCTTGTTTGCCAGTGGGTAACTGGCCCAGGGAGGCAGTTAACCGCAATTCTTGGCACAGCAGACAGCAGAAGAAAGGACAGTAAGGAGGAGTCACTCGGGACAGGGGCCTGTCCTGGTCATTACCAGGCCTCTACTATTGCAGCACAACCTGTGAAGATGCAAACAGTAGCCACCACTCAGCCACTGTTTAACCCCCGGCAGTTTCACTGACTCTGAGTCCACGCTGGCTATGAACGAGTGTTGCTATAGCAAGACAAAATATTTAAACGGGGGTGGGAGAGAGAAGGAGGGACACAGAGAGAGAGGGACAGATAGTGAAGACATTCACGTAACTTTTACTATGGTACGTTTTCATTCATTGTTCTCTTTTATTACTTATTGTTGCTAATCTCTTACTTCTATATTATTTGGATGTAATTTATACATTAAACTTTACACTCCATGGTTTCTAGTGTCCACTGGAAGTCTGGGGACACATCTACAGATGAGGAGGGCTACTATACCACACACTTAATATGGGTCAATCATCATATGCTTAAAAAACCAGCTTGATAATGTTTCATTTCTCCCACAACAAGGAGTCATCCAGCTAGGCATTCAAGGCCTGATACTTTATGCATCTATGAAGCAGTTGTATTTCAATCTCCTTATGAGATAACGCGATGCTCTCTGGGATCATAAAGCCACTTTGCAAGTCAATATACTTTTATACTGGTAAGTATACAGATACAAATTTGAAGAATATGAAGACTTAAAATGCTATCTTATTTTTGTGAGTTACTTGGCTATTGCAAAAAGTAATGTTCCTGCTGTGAGGAGATGTTAATATCACTGACTCAGTGATTTCACTTAATTTAAAAATAAAATGCAGTTTCTAGAAATAATGTATTAGATAATGGCACGTTTTCTTGACCATTAAAGAACAGGTATACAGTAAGAAGTACTCATTTAAAAGGCTAAAATAATTATGGGTATACTTAAAGGTTTTTAGAAAGATGAATACTTTCGTATCGCTGTTAGATTGGACACAGTTAAGTAAAAAGAAAGCAGGCAAAAATGTCTTTTAGGAAGAAAA